CGTGTTCGTGCAATGGTCTTCAGGGGTTTATGGTCCTAAGGGTTGCCTTAACCATTTTGGAAAGGAAAAGTACAACTAATTTATTGAAATTGCAAAAATTAAACACAAAATTATTGAAACCTCGAAGTAAATGCGTGGAAATGAAAACCAAATACTAATCCGGCAAAGAATATACATCGCCATGTTCTAAGCCTTGGAACATGAACCCTATAAGCTTGACCCGATACTAAGTCGGGCAAAAAATATTACATTGCCTTGTTACAAGCCTCCGAACATGAACCAACCACAAGCTTGAGGTTAGAGACTAATCTTAATCCCTAAAATTGAGCTAGATTAGGGCGAGCATAAATTCTACTCATTTTATTAGGTGACAAGACTAATATAGGCTGAACTAACCATTTATTAGTATAATGATCCTGAGTATAATCGTTTTTATTTTTTTAGCTAGACTATGTCAACTAAAGTCTAAGTAAGCTATTTTGATTATTAATTCTCATGTCTATCAACTAGACTGGCCTAATCGACACTAAGCTAAACTAATAAACCTAAATCTAATCGCCACCTCAGACCTCCTCCTTGAGCTCTCGATCGCTGGCTACTAGTCTTCGACAATCAATTCCAATATCCAACCATGCAATCAATTAATCCAAGCATTAGCAAGTTCACCCAATTAACTACCAATCAAGAGAATCGAGTTTGGTTCGAGAGTTTGATGTCGATCACACGATTTGATTATCTATCCACCTCGTAAAGCTGGGAGTTAATTAATTATAGCTGAGTGATTATGAACCCCCACTTGAACATTCATCAAACGGTGGACTAAGTCACTAAGCACCGAACTAAAATCTAATCCCCATTCCTAAACTACCCGCTGAAAGATCATGCATCACTAAGCGCAATTGAAAGCAATCAACATCAATTCCATCACAAACAAATATCAAACAGGCACACATTGAGGCTAATTAGCTCAACTAATCTTAAGTGATCCTAAACTAAACTAAGAATCCACAATCTAAGCCAACATGAACACACAGATCATCAATCAATCAATCAAGTAAAGGCAAGTATTACACTAAAAATCAAGGAATAGAATTTTTCTAACCAATATTTTATTTTTTTACATTTCGGATTTTTTTATTTTTTATTAGTTTCTGGAAATAGGGACACCGGCCTGGCCCTTGGGCCCGATCCGAATTTTGGCTGTACGTGTGAGTCCAGAATTTGGACTTAGCATACCATCGGGCTTTTGTATCAAACCCATTCCAATTAGAAATTATAAAAGTCCACTTTTGGGCTGACTCACCAAGCCCATCAGCAAATATAACAAGTCTGAGTCCAATTTCATCAAAAAGACACACAGCCCATTTTCATCTTTTTTTCCCGTTCTTTTCCAGAGACGCCCTATTCCGCTATTTTTTCACAAACTAGAAACCTCATCAAAAACAAAAAACAAAAAAACGCACCAATTTTACTTGTTAAATTTAGGGTTAATACCACGAAAAACCCCAAACTTTTACACTTTTGAAAAATTATCCCAAATTAATTTTTTGACAACAAAAAACCTAAACTTATACACCTGTGATAAATTTATCCTTCATTAATTTCTATTAAATTTTACAATCAAATTGTCGAATTCGATAATAGATAGCAATTGACAAATGTGCCAATTTAAGGTTGTTTATAGTTTTTCGTAATATTAATCCAATTTAACGAAAAATAACAAAAGGTAAATTTGTCGCAAATATACCGGTTTGAGATTTTTGAAGGTCAAAAAACTAGTTTGAACTAAATTTGTTACAGATATACCAGTTTGGGATTTTTCGTGGTCAAAAAATTAATTTTGGGTAAATTTATCATAAATGTACCGATTTAGGATTTTTCGTAATATTAACCCTTAAATTTATTCTGCAAACTAGATTTAACACGCTAACAACTCTAACACTTAAAGGTCAGAACGCCATCGTCCTTCGAGGAGTATATTTTACACATGAGCAAAGTTTTAGGAAGCAGACCGTTGATGAAAATAGAAGCATAGCATTGAAGGAACGTGGACAATCGCCAAGAACCAGTACATACGGCATTGCCTCTCGGACGTTTCTTGCCGGAAATTGCCATTCGTCACCATAGGGACATAACACAGAGAATAGAGAAACATAGGTCAAACAGGAAAAATGGAATCAATTGATTATACAATAAGACTAAGCCTGATAGCTTTGCGAATCAACATCCATTATGCAAACCATATCAAAATATATTCGGATTGAGTAACTCCAAAAGCCATTTCACAACTTTTCCTTAGAGACATAACGTCGAATAGTTTATGTGCATATTGAGAATAACCACAGCGGCAAGCAAATCAGGAAATGAAAAATTTTGCATCACTTGCAATCGATAGGTAAAATTCCACAGAATCATGTTTGATGACTGATGAATGAAACAGTAACATCAAAGAACACTGAATTGTCTTCGGATTGAATGAAAATAGGCATTATCTCTTATGTACTTCTCTGGGACATTTCGTCAAACGCATGGTTAACAATTTCATTGAGGTAATTATTTCTAAAGCAAATGAATGATTAACATCCAGAACTCAAACTCATTACCTCATCACAAGAAAACGTACATGGAAATGCAATTTGCATATTGATAAGCTTCTTCAGAAAACTACACCAATTCTGCATCTCTTTTATACTTTCTTTTTTAACCTTTTCCATATCTTTGTTTCATGTCCAGACACAAATTCAAGTTAGTTGTCAAAGTGAATCAACTTCTTCCCTACCTTGCCCACAGTCAGACCAAACTTCATCTCCTTTTATTCACAGCCAGACCACACATTCACAATTAACAAATTTGTTGCTGTTTTAATCTCGTAGACTTAGAAGCATTTATCATCATCAAAAAGCTATGCTTAACGTGAACTGCAGCAGCTTCACCTACAACAATGTTACTAATGGAAACCACAGCCATTTCTTTCATGCATATTCTCAGAATTCGCTCATTACACGATAAATATTCACATTGCAAATTGCATTCCAAAAAACACCATTAGCTTTGCTCACAGCGAATAGATTCAGGACATTATGATTATTCTAAACATAGCCGAAATTGATAAATTCTAGAATAGCCATGTAAACTCGAAACTAATTCATTTTACACGAACTTGGCAAAATGTACTTCATGATCATTTCAACTTCTTACCAGTTTTAATTACATCAGTCAACATATGTTTATTTATGACGGAGATTGACGAGAATAGAACGTGCACAGGAAAATAGATCGAGCAAATGAAAATGGACAAGTGGAGGTCTTAGACATAGTCTACAATATCATCATTCGAAGTTGCAATGAGATGTCTCAACGTCTATACTGGACAACAATCAATCCAGAGACGCTAAGTATAAGAATACTTGTCAGATTTGCACGCGAATTTCATTCAAGCATTTCGACAAACATATGGCACGCATCTCGGTTTAATTATCAAAACGCAAGAACGAAGCAGCGATTTAAAGCCATATGACCACATCATCATCAAAGCAGGCTCAAATCGATAATAGATCCTCAATCAGAGACTATTTTCACATAAACCACAACTAGAGTTGTTGGCCTCAGTCTCCCGTACAAAGTAACAGAAACAAAGCACAAGCAACACCATGAAGAACAGCAACAACAGACCTTGAATGACGATCGAATTGGAGGAAGAAGTCGTCAGAGACAATGACGCTGGAATGAAAAATCAACAGAGCTGCTAAGAACGCAAAAACAGAGAGTTAAGATCAGAAATACATGAAATCAAAATTAAAGAAAGGGAGAGAACTTAGCTTTGCAGCGATCAAACAACGAAGAACTGAGCTTCGATCGTTTGAGGAGAGCCGAACGGAGTTGAAGAGTGTAAACTGGAATAGAGCTGGTCCTGTGCGGAGGAGACTTGTGGCTGTCGGAACCTCGCTAGAAACGATCGGCTTGAAATTCGAAGATCGGGAGCTCGTTCGAGCGTTCCTTAGCTGAGGAAGATGAGATTCTGAGCGTGTGCTGCTGGGATTGAAGCGCGAACGCTGATAATATAAGCAAAGATACCGAGAATCAGCTCTGCTAGCTGAATCGAATATGAAAACCAGAGAGAGAGAGAGAGAAGACTTAGGCTCTTTAGTCTTTCGCAACGATCGAAAAGCGGAGCAAGAGTGGTTATGGTCGTCAGAACGGAACGGAGTTGCAACCGAACATCTCCGGAATCGCGACCGAGTGGCTAAGTCGCGACGACGATAATGAGGGCGGAGGCGGAGGCGATAGCAATCGGAGGTATGGCGATTGTGGAACCGGCGGTGGCTACCGGTGGAGATTGTGGCCGGAGGTGGAGCTCGAGGAGGGAGGTCGGCCATGCTAATGGGCTGAGTGGACCGGGATTATTTCGGTATTAATGGGGCCGGATGAATTGGGTCGGGTCAACTTGATTTGATCAAAGTTGACCCGAGGCCTCTCGATCGTCTTATTTCTCTCTGAATTTCATTATGGGCTTGGTCATTAGAATTGATTCGGCCCAATGAGACGAATAGGGCTTCGATTACCTGGACAGCCCGACCATGTCGGTCCCGATTCGACGTTTTTCGCTCGAGTCCCCAAATCATCCTGATTTTTCCAAAACTGATATTGAATTAAATTAACATGGCCTAATCGGATTTGAAAAATGCTAATTCACTCTATTCGTGAAGGATCAATCGGGCTCCTAAGGGCGCGCAAGGTAACATTTCTGTTCTAGAAATCAATTTCTCGCCAGAAATAGATTTTTCTATTCCTATTCCGTGGACGAGTCTCTGAGCAAAAATGGGTGTTTGATAACGACACAAAATTTCTATTTCCGAAATAGAAATTCATTTGATAACGACACAAAATTTTCTCCCTTCCGGGCGGCCGCCGGAAGACGGCGGGGGGCAGAGGACAGTGGCCGACGGTGGGAGGTGGTCGGCAGGCGACGACAGATGACGGCAGCCAGCGGCAGGAGGTGTTCAGCACCGGGCGGCAGCCAATGTCGAGTGGTGGAGCACGAAGGCCAACGGCGGAGCACGGTGGCCGACAGCAAATAACGGCGGCGGCGGCCGAAGGCGGTCGGCATCAGGTGATGGAGCACGACGGTTGGCAGCGAAGGACGGCGGTTGGTGGTGGGTGGCTGCCAGCAGCAAGAGGCAGCCGACGGCGGAGGGCGGCTGGAGGCGGCCAGCGTCGGGCGATGGAGCACGGTAACCGGCGGCGGAGGAAGGCGGCCGGTGGAGGGCGGTGGACGGCAACCAAAGGGCGGGAGGCGGCGGGAGCCAGCCGGCAAGTGGCGACGAAAGACGCGAGAGGCGACGGTGGGCGGGTTGTGGCCGGCGTTGGGCGGCGGCGAACCGCGGAAGGTGGCGATGGGAGGAGGCGGTCGGCGAAGGACGCCGGCGGTAGGCGGCCGATGGCGGGTGGCGGTCGGTGGCAAGAGGCGGCCGGCGGTGGTGGGAGGCGACCGACGACAATAGCGAGTTGCAAGAAGGTGGCCGGCTAGTAGTGAGGGCGAGCGATAAAAAGAGTTTTTATTTCTCATTTCTGTTCCAGAAATAGAAAAGTAATTTTTTTTTACTTCTCATTTCTGTTCCAAACCTACTTCTGGAATAGAAATTTGTTCCAAAAATAGAAAAATGAAATTGCATTACCAAATGGATTTCTATTCCAAACATGTTCCTGTAAACAAAAAAATAGAGAAACATAAATGATTTCATGCGCGCCCTAAACGTGCGCTTGAATGTTGGCCGACCTATTTCGAGCTCAAACTCTTCAAATTGGCTTGCAATAAATGGAAGATCAATCAAGATTGATGAGTAGAGAAAAATAAGAAATTAACTGAATCGACTGAAGACGGATTGATGGAGAATATTCTCGCTTCTTGCCTTTCATGCTCATGGTTAACACCTATAAATAGGGGTTTTCCACAAACACTCAACACACACAGAACACACTCAGAAGAGTTCACGACGCGAAGCTCCCTCAAAACGGCGAAACTCTTCTCGGCGAAGCCCTCTCCGACGGTTGTCTCTTCCCTCTAGTGCCTCTCCTCCGGTGGCCACAAGCCGGCACAACTGAGTGCTCTCAAGGTCCTCCAGCACATCTGGACTAGCTCTACTGCAGTTCACCGTTGCTTTAGTTTGCCTAATATCTTAGGTACGTTAAGGTTTGTGCAATCCCATTTGATATTTCGGTTTTAATATATAGTTTTAATTACGTAGCGAAGCCTTAGGTTATCTAATCATATTTTAATGACAAGAAAAATGTGACCTATCAACCAACCAACGATGAAAGGAAGGATCTCAAAGAATCGATCTTGTCAAGATAGATCCTTATCTATCACATACTGGCGTATTAGGGTGCCAGAAATTTGGCCTAAAAGGTCGAGTGCGCCTCATTGCACTATTCGGAATTTTAATATATGTATTTCTATGCGTGATTGATTGAATAATTTTTGCATGTGTTAAAATTCTTTTACCATCATGTTCATGTTGCATATCATACACATGTTTAGAACTTAGAGTGCATTCATAATTCACATTTGGAATAACGCATGTTGTTTTTTGGAATGCATATAGATTTAGGATAATTCATAATTTTCATTAAATAAGAAAAACCAATTAAAAGATGTGATTATAATCATATAGATTGCATGTAGACTTAGGATTCATTAGTCTTATATCGTGTAGCGCGCCATCTAGAAAATCATATATTCCTAGGGTTGAATTTTAATAATCACGTCATGTAGATAACTTTAGCTATTAATTGCACTGCGTGCATTATTTACTCTGCATATAACTCATATAGCATGAAAAGAAAAAAAATAGAAATGAGTTAGTTATTGCATCATTAGGTCATTAGGCATATGGTAATTTAGTGTTAAGCTCGTAAGGTCGCATGTAGAGCCCGGTGATTATTATTTGCTGTTTTTATAAAATAAAATATAAAAAGTATCATTTTATATAGTTTGCATCATAGGATTAATCTATGTTTGATTGTCATGTCATAACGTTATCTTTAGGCATTAATTTGGTAGCATTATGTATAGTTAACTCATTATAGCATAGCATGCATGACATTTGGGACTTTATGGTAGTTCATCAATGCATGTTAGATTAGTGCATATAATCATAGCATTAATCGAGTCACATCTAAATTGCATTTAGGGAGTCATTTCATATACAAGAAAACACACAAAAAAAAAAAAACAAAAACAAAAACCAATTGACAGTGCATCGTAGTTATCGCAAATAGCTTAGGTCATGCATTAGTCATAGTAATCAACATGTTCATTAATAAAATGCATTTGTCATTGCATGTTTGAATAGGGATCCATTTTTGCTTGATCGTGCATTTCAAATTATTTAATCTTTTCAGTAATTTATTTACTGTTTCGATTAGTGAATGTTTCATTTTGTTTGTGCTTTCGCATGTCCATCATTCGCATATTAGTGGCATAGAAATAAATTTGACAAAAATTGCGTGCCAAAAAATTCTCGAACTAAATAGAAAAGGTTTCGAAAGGGCATTAGGTAAAATCTAAAATGATCAAGTCTCTGAATCCATAAATCTCTTATTCCAAGAAGCAAAATGTATTTCCAAATTTACTTGGATGTCTAAGGGACTCGTAATTGATTAGTAGTGGCTCCAAAAAATAAAATAAATATCATGATTGAATCGAGCGTTAAGTAGCGATTGGTAGATCTTGGAAGAGCTAAGCACCATGCCTAGTAATCCATTAGCTTAGTTCACCTCCTGAAGGTCGTGACATCCGTGGCAAGCCCATATTTTGTGAACTTATAGAGTGAAATCTGGTAATTAGAAGTCAAAATAAATGCTTTTCTTCCTTCTTAAAGTTTCTTCTTTTTTTTTTTTTGAAAATGCAATAATTGTGCAGTGATATGACTGTATCTTCGAAATTCATTCCAACACCATTTCCTCGGCTTTGATATACTTTACATGCTTCTTTAATTGCTAAAATTTAACCACTCCCAATTTTATTCACTATTGGTGTAACGTCCCGAATTCGACCCACTTTCGTAATCAATAAAATTGATTTATTTCTCATTTCGTTTTAGTAAGTCTCGCCCGGAACTGATCATTCTCGGGATACTGACCAATAGGGAAAGGCTAACTAGGAAAGCGGTACGTGGACCCAAGAACTCGTCCGTGAATTGAGTCCGATTTCAAGATACGACGAGAGAATATTTTGTGCCAATGTGGGCCGATCCAAGGAGAGTGACGGATTTGGTTTGACCAACGACGTACGATCGGATAGCGGGTGATTCCGCACGACCAAGAGTACACGTGGCGAATGGTCCCGAGCTTATTCCGAACGATCGCGACCCCGGGATAAGTGATTAAATCTCGTACTCTTTGGGAAATCGAGACCGTCACCACTCGAGTAACCCTAGGTCAATACGCGTAACCCCTAAACAGCTGCCCGTTAGTGAGAGACGCTAAAATCACAAATTAAGCAAAATCGATCGTGGAATTGAGTCTGGACTTCCGTGTCGAATTTCGTGGGCGTGCGCAACTACTTTTGCAAGGACAACGTCGTAAAAGTGTGGCCAATCAAATTTGGGATCGGTAGAGTCAAAAATTGAAAATTTGACCCGGGACCGGAAAATTACCGTTTTGCCCCTAGGCCCTAAGCCTTATATTCCGAATTTTGAGACTATTTGGAGATTATTTTAGAGTTTTATATTGGTTTATCTCAGCCCAATAATGCTGAAAATTGAGGACCATAATGCCCCCAAGATACTTAGCAAGTCTTGATCATGGTCATTGGGATGAGGACTTGATGGTCATTTTGGGGATAGTTGTTCACCAACCCCCACTAAGCTAAACCAAGCCTATACACTCATATGTCTCTCTCTCCCTCATTTCCACCTCCCCCTCCCACGCCAACTTCCTCTCTTCCATTTTCCTCTTTGCTTGGCCGTGAGAGGCCCTCACCGGAGGAGCTCCGCCGCCGCCGCCGGAGCCGGTCCGCCACCACCACCATCTCGCCTTCCATCACCACCATTCCGACCGTCCCATTCTCCCTCTCCTCTCCTCATCTGCCACCGACTAGCCCGTCCTCCGCTGTGGACCGCCGTCCGCAAGCCTCCGCCGCTCGCGACGCCGTGAAGGCCGCCCGTCGCCGCCGCTTGCCCCGCCATGCTCCAGCTCAGCCAGCCCATTTTCCCCACCTGTCCAGCTTAGTTGGGAGCTTAGGAATCCAGGTAAGTACAACCCTAAACCCTAGTTAGGCTAATGTACAATTCTAGATGAGTTTTAGAGGTTAATTAGGGTAATTTAGGGGTTAAATTGCGGAGGATGTTAGGGGCTGACTTTGTGGTTAATTTAGTGACTTAGAGTGATGATTTAAATGAGGTTCAATGGCATATAGTGTGCTGTGTGGTGGTTGAGCATAGGCGCCTTGATTCGGGCAAAAATGGGAATTTGGCGGATGTAATTTGTGGGCCGAGTGGTGGCTATTTTCATGGTGATTCTTATGGTCTAATGTGACGATTTGGAGGTGATTTAATGGCCTATGGTGGACTGTTCATGGCTGATTTGGTATCGGGTTGATTCGGGCCATAATTGGTTAATCGAGGTTTTATGGTGAATTGCTTAGGGAATGGTGATCGGCCAATGAGGGGGCTAAATTAAGCATGAATTGAGTGTAATTATGTAATTCCCTGTGATGTGCTTGGCGTGGCCAATTCATGAGACGCTTGGTAGACGAACGGCATGAGTAGTTTTAGTGTTTTAATTGCGTGAAATTGGGTGCCAAATTTCATGTTGTGATTGATTTGGACTAATTAGTTTATTGGGCATAATGAAATGTGAATTGAGCAGGTTGTGGTGTTATTTGAATGATTTGATTAGTTGGGCTTGTGATATATTGAATTGAGCATATTGCGTTGTGAATTGAACAAGTGGTGTTGTGAAATTGAATTCTCGTCGGGAATTTCATGGATGTCCGAGTGTGAACGTTATAGCCATGAGTGTGCATCTCGAACATTGGCAGGACATGTGCATATGCGAGTGTGCACGAATGACATGAGGATGTGATCACCTAAAATGCCATGATGCGTTTTACGCGGGGTTCAGATAATAATTGATGATTGTGAACGTATGATCACATAAAGCGCTGATGCGTTTTACGCGGGGTATTGAACCCGTCTTGAGGCGTGTTACGCGGGACGATGTCCGGATTACCGGAAGATGACCAACCCGATGCGTTTTACACGGGTTTGTTTCATGGGCCTGATGCTTTTTATGCAGGCCAGAGATCGATCTCGAAGTGATAGACCTGATGCGTTTTACGCGGGTCGGACATGATGCGTTTTACGCGGGTCGGAGGAGAATTGGTAAATCGCAAGTGTGCAAGAGTGCAAGTGTGCGAAAGTGCATTAATGAGACATGAGCACGAGTATGAGCATGAGTATGAACATATGCATGACATGCGTTGTGACCAAGTGATATTATGTATGTGCCACGATTTGGTTCTGTGTTATTATTGTGAATTTATATAGTGCCTAACCTGCAGGGCCAATTGAGTTTTGGATTTGGGTCCGAGGGCCTAAGTCATTTATATTCTGGATTGTGTGTTGTTTAGTGCTCGTCAGGAGGTGCATGTTAGCCTAGTTTAGATTTAGGGGACCTTCTCGCTGAGATTTATTCTCACTGTTGTATAAACCCAACTTTTCAGACCCCCGGCCTTGAGATGTCCGCAATACCTATTCGTTTTGGGATCCCTTACCGGATAGACCGGGGGGAGACGGAGTACCCCGCAGGGAACGGGGATACATATGTTAGATACCTGACTACAGTTTGGGTCGATGCAGGTGAGCAGCTTGACCAGGCCCATATGTACATAGGGTGGTGTATCAGGGATCTTACAGGGACTTACGGACCCCTTCGATCTTTTGAGGTCCCGTTTAGCGAGTCAGGGGATGTTGACCCTCAGTGTCCCGATGGGGACTTGGCGAGCCCTGACCGTGCGTCCGAGGAGAGCTCTAGTGCTGACTTAGGGCACGGGCCGAATGTTTGGGAGATGGACGAACCAGAACAAATGGAGGAGGAGCCGAAGGATGGGGACTCAAACCCGGAGCCGATGGATTCGGAGGATGAGCCAGAGTCGATGGAGCAGGACCTCGAGTTGGAGTCAGCACATGAGAAGGACGGTTCAGACAAAGAGTCATCCGGGATCGATATCGAGTTGGAGTCCATGGAGTCCGAGCCGGAGTCGTCCGAGAGTTCTTCCGACTCGTCGAGTTCTGACCCAGACTGGGAGCCGTAGAGTAGACCTTAGACCCTAGTTAGGTTGGGCCAGTACCTTTTTTACCGGAGCCCCACCTAATTCCAGTACCCCTGACCGCTCGGGCCACTTACCCTTTTTTGTCAGTAGTGGCCTTTGACCCGCTTTTGATTTTGATGTTCATGCAATATATGAATATTGTATAAGTTTCCCGATGTTAATGCAAGTGTATATGTGTAATCATGTTGATTGTTCTATCCTTGGTCTCGTATTTGATTTGTACAGGTGTTTACGTTGTTTTCGCATGTGCTTTGACTCTGTTTGGGTGTTGGGTCGGCGGCACGTCCTGGGACGTCGCACTTGAATCGACCACGGCAGGGATGCTCGCGCGCCGTAGGGTTCGAGGCGTGACATCCCCCGTTGATTTGGTATCAGAGCAAGGTTAGCTCGGTCCAAACTGGTCGAAGTCTGGAGTGATAAGGAGCGATGACCTTGGGTAGCCAGTAGGGTGACCTCGTGTGCTACGTGTACCTCCTGACTGTCTGTGTTTTGATTGAGTGCTTATATGAATTGACCAGTAAGGTGCAGGTGTGGCAGGACCCGAGGTAAGTACGTGTATCCCCTTGGTTGAGGTCTTGTGCTATTTATGCTTAGTCGCATGCTGAGTGATGGACTGCTATTGTGTTGAGTTTCCTGCCTAAGACCTTAGACTGGATTAGCTTGGTTTAGATCTCTAATTCCTGTGTGGGAATTATAGCAGATAAGTGAGCGTGTGAGTTGGGAAGATGAGTAGCCAAGGAAGAGGTAGAGGTCGAGGCTGTGATAGAGGTAGAGGTCGAGGTCGTGAGCAAGACCGCGTAGAACCGCAAGTGAGGGTTGCCGAGGATCCAAGGGTAGATGGAATTTTAAGGGCTCTCGAGGAAGCTGGAATTCTGGGAGGTAGGCTAGCCCAGGAGAGAAATGCCACTATCGTCGCTGCTGTTGAGGCCGCCATTGCTGCTGCCAATGGGGTCAATGGGAACAACGGAAATAATGGGAATCAGGGAAATCAGGAGAATCCTATTCCAGGACCGGCAAATGTGATCAGGCCGATGTCTAAGTTGGTCGAGCAGTTCTTGAAATTAAAACCTCCAAAGTTCAATGGGAAATGTGACCTCGAGACTGCACCGCGTTGGATAGAAGAACTGGAGAAAGCTTTCGATGTTCTAGGGTGCACCGATACTGAAAGGGTGACACTGGCGGTATATTAGCTGCAGGACAATGCGAACGACTGGTGGAAGGCCACTAAGGCCATAGTATTTCCCGAGGGTACCGCCCAAACTTGGGCCGTGTTTACCGAAAATTTCTATGGAAAGTATTTCTCAGAGAGTGCCCAGGAAAGAAAACTGGCTGAATTTATGCAACTCCGCCAAGGACAGATGACCGTGGATCAGTACGAAGCGGAGTTGCCAGATTATCGAGATTTGCCCCTAGAATGGTTGAGGACCCACAGGATAAGGTTAGGAGATTCCGGGATGGGCTAAAACCAGATCTGTGAAGTCAGATGATATCGCTGAACATCAAGGACTATAGTGAGATGTACGAGCGGGCGCAGGCTATAGAGCGAGATCAGACTAATAGGGCAGTCGCTTCTGGGTCGCGGTTTGCCCAGAGCAGGGACAACCGTCATCTCAAGAAGAAGCCGATGACGGGAAATAGGCGATTTGTCCCACCGATCAGGAAGAATATCGGAAAGCCGAGACACCAGCAGAACAGATTTGGGGCCTGCTTCAAATGCGGGAGTATGGACCATCAGATTAGGAATTGCCCCCAGCAACGCCCAGCAGGTCCCCCGATGCAACTACAACAACCTCGAGTTGCGAATCAGGCTGGGAATCCCCTGCCGGCTAATCTGAATAGGCCACCGGCACAAGGACGGGTGTACGCCATGGCGCAAAGAGAAGTAGAGAATGCGCCAGGCGTGGTCACATGTATAGTTTCTCTGTGCAATAATGTAGCATATGCTTTGTTTGATCTGGGGGCGTCGCACTCATTTGTGTATGCTCAGTTTGTTGAATTGGCTGGATTAAATCCTGTTTTGTTAGAAGTGCGTTTATGTGTGACTACGCCATTAAAGGATAAGATATGCATATCGTTAGGATGCCCGGACTGTGAGATAGTAATTGGTGGCGTAGAAAGCAAGATAGATTTAGCTGTTTTGCCCATGTATGATTTTGATTTGATTGTGGGCATGGATTGGTTAGTCAAGCAGAATGCCTTAATGGATTGCAGTAGTAGGGTGATTCAGTTTAGTTCGGCTAGACACCCTAGATTTAAGTTTGTAGGGAGTCGAGGAGGAACCTCGATCCCTTGGGTCTCATCAGTAGAAGCAACCAAGTTGTTACATGAGGGATGTCAAGGTTATTTAGCAAGTGTGGTTGATTCGACGACAAGAGAAGTGCGGCTAGAAGATATAGCAGCAGTGTGCAACTTTCCCGATGTCTTTCCTTAGGAATTGCCGGGATTGCCACCAGAGCGAGAAGTGGAATTTGTTATCGAGTTGGCCCCTAGGACTGAGCCAATCTCGAAGCCGCGTTATAGAATGTCATTGTCAGAGTTGAAAGAACTAAAGGTGCAGATGCAGAAACTGCTAGACACAGGTTTTATCCGACCAAGTGCGTCTCCATGGGGAGCGTCGGTATTATTCGTTAAGGCTGTGTATCGACTACCGTCAGCTGAATCAAGTGACAATCAAGAATAAGTATCCCCTCCCAAGGATTGACGACATGTTCGATCAGTTGCAAGGAGCCTCGGTGTTTTCTAAGATTGACCTGAGGACAGGGTATCATCAGCTAAGGATCCAAAAGGAGGATATCCCAAAGACGACATTCAGGACAAGGTATGGACACTATGAATTCACGGTAATGCCGTTTG